CCCACGCGCCCTGCGCATCGTGCCACACGTAGTCGCTGTAGTTCCCCCCAAGCACCTGCAGCGTCAGATACTCCTTAAACGGCTGCATGTGCACCAAGTACAATGCCATCACCTGCCCCAGCTGCAGTGGCAAGAAGCGCGGCACAATCTTTGGCTTGTCCCACTGCGACTGCGACTTGTGATAGCGGACAACTATCATTACCTGCCCATCTACAACAAAGATGTTGCGGTCCTGCAGTACACTGTTGCGGTGTCGAATTGTCGTGATCTCTGACCCCCTCCCTGGCTGCCCTGACGCGACGTGCACGCTGCAGAGTAGCACCTCCAAGAAGCGGTCAACCTGCCGTAAGTACTGCCGCACTGCCTTGACGCTCCACTGCCCGTCTGCACGCTTCAAGCGCTGGCCGCCCTCTGTGGTGAGTGCGCGCTTAAGCATCCACTCTAGCCCACCTAGCAGTTAGTTGCCTGGTGCATTGACAAACGACGTGCGTCGCTTTGTGAATGTAACATCATCAACTACCTACTTAAGATTAATAGTTACCCAGTCCTCCTCCTTTCCAATCCAGCACAGCTCCTGCAGCATCTGCTCTGCTTCAGCCAGCAAGTCTTGCGCCATCTTGCAGAAATGGCTGATAGCAATTGGACGACTGTTTAGATAAAACGTCTTTCTGTCCAGAGACCAGTGTGCGTTGCCTGAGTTGCCGGCGTTTAATCCAATGTGCTTGCCGTACGCGAGCATGCTGATCATCTCGCTCATCGGGCTGAACGAGCCATCTGCTAGATACCTCTGCCGCATCTCTACAAAGCGATCGCGGTCCAGCTCAGTTTGCGCGCTGCGCTGTGAGCCTGGGAGCAGCGCCTCAACTGCGACTACCCGCACGCAGTACACCATCCCTGCTAGCATATACAAGTAGTTCTTTGCTGTCCGCAAGCGGTCTGTGCCTGTATCATACCCAAGCACTGCCAGAAACTGAATTAGACTAGTAGACAGCGCTATAGGGTAATATGTTGTGAAGACAAACGAGCTGATTGACGCAAGAAGCGCCTCTGTCTAAGCTGCTCTGTTGTTGCCATCTAGCGCGTCCCATAGCTTGATCCTAAATAACTTCTGCTCGTCTGTCCACGTGAAGAGCTCACGTGCATCTTTCACCCTATCTAGCTGCGTTCGATTGCGTGTTGTACGTCGGGGCCGCGGGCTGTCACTATCAGCTTTACTGCTCTTGCCGTCATCGTCCTCCTCGCTGTCCTCCTCGCTGTCCTCCTCGCTGCCTGATGCTGAGCAGCTTTCTGCATAAGCGGCTGCATTCTGCTGCTCTCCAAAGCGCACAATCCGCTGCTCTTCGTCGGCTAGTACCCGCAGATAGAAGCTGACGAACCTCACCATGTAGCTTGTGTACACTGCCTGACTCTCCGGATTCTGCAAGCGCGCCAACGGTCGCACGTCTGGCTCCTCTCGCTTTGCGCTCTGCAGCCAGCGCCTCAACTCTTGCGGGAGCGTAGCTAGTCCTTTCACGCTTCTTTTGATCAGCCCTTCAGTCAGCTGAGCAGCCAGCTTGATCTTGCGCTCGCTGTGATTGGGCAGGCGGGCTTAATGCGCTAGATGAGCGAGATTCCAGTCCTTAAAGAACTCCAGCCAGCCTGTGCGCTTAAACCATCCCGTCTTGTCAGTCTTTGCAGCTTCTTCTAGTGTTTGCAGCTCTTCCTTAATTTCTTGTTGTGTTAATCTGTACTCAGCAAGCTGTGCCTAGACGTGGGTTTCCATCGCAGCGTCTTCGGGATCTCTAGCATCTATAAAACTAACAACAAAGTATTTCTGCAGTCCTCCAGTGCGGAAAAAGCTCTGCACCTTCACAGTCCTATAGAGCAAGCTTTTCTCTCCCACCCACGCTTGCTCATGATTTCGCTTGCAGTGCTTGCGCATCTTATCTTTGTTGATTGTGATC